GGTTAACATCGACCAGACTACATAGAGCAAGAACCCAGAAGACAGAAATCTTCAACCTAAACCCAATTTTCTTACGTAATTGTTCTGTCATTCGACGCCATTTAACTAAGTGAGTTCATAAAGAGGATTTCAGTAAAAGAAGAAACAAACAATTGAAGTTTCTGCTTCTTAAAATGTTTATCTTTTTTGTATCTCTCTTTCTATCTATTGTTTCTTTCTGTCTTTCGTTCTGCACTTTTATATTTTATTATTTTCTCTTTCTTTATCCATTTCTTTGAAGGCACTGCCAGTTTTAGTTCATGCATTGCTTTTATTTCTAGGGTTTTCTGGTTTGTTGGACTGAGCTAAAGCTTCTCCAACAGAATCACTTGGCGTGTTGTGCGCGCGTCTGCACAGCTTGATGGACTTCAGTGGACAGCCGGCAAAGACGGCGCTGGTAAGGTACGTTTAACGAGTTGTAGTCGTTTAGAACCACAAGGGCACAGCTCACACGAAACAGAATCCCTGGGATTCATGCACCGCCAATTCATAAACGACACATGCAGCAATTTGCTGAGATTTGAGTGCAGAAATGGCTGTCTTCTGGGATATTAAATCATGCAGTCTGGTTTATACTTACCGACGTTTCAGGGGGAGCTTACTGCTTCGGTCCTACCAGACTAAACGTTATAATATTCTTAACGGAATCCATCTTTATTTCTTGCAGCATTTATAATCGTAGCATTTTTAAAAGTAAATCGTAAGTATAAAATTCGGCCTTAATTTTGAGTGCACATAATTGTTAATGTATCACAAAGAGAAGAGACGAGAAATTTATGCTAAATTTTAGTCTAAAAACATGAAGGAAAAGATACCGAGACATAGATTGGATGTGACAATAAAATGAACGTTAAAGAAACAGGGTGTGTGAGAAGTGGAAAATCTCAGATTATGGAAAACGCTGTGGGCTGTTGTAAACATGGTAGTGAAAACTTGGGTTAAGCAAGAAAATTTTTCCAATCAGTTGAACTATTCTTATATTGAAAAGCGTGATGTGCTCTTGGTAGTTACTTAGCCTCAAATAATGAGATAAGGTAAATTTGTTTGTGCTTGATGAAAAAAACGTTGATTTAGTGAGCGATAGCATTTGTTTCGAAATTTCCCTTTCTTTGTACCACACCACGTCATGGTTCGTCCTCGGATTGTGGATGGTGGAGAACACCCCTCCCCCCCCATATGGAGGTCAACCGCTGATACACTGAACAAATACTCGCGGATAGCCGACAAGGGGTAATGTTCCATCTTACCATAAAAATTTACCATGTTATGTAATGCCTTGGATTTGAGCAGATGACTTGGATGAAACCACTTGGGAAGAGTGTACGTTGGAAACTTAGTAGTAGATGGAAGGATAATATTAAAACGGAACTTCGTGATGAATGCGAGAGAGTAAAGTCCATTCAATGTGCTGAGGATATGGTCCAGTGGCGGTTATTTTAAACACTGCAATGGAAGTAGGTCATTTATTGACGTGCTAAGTGACTATCATATTTTAAGTAAGATTCAGTACAGTGATGTTAGTAAATTATTTGTATGGGTGTTCATTCAAACAGTCATGGCACTGACCTGATAATATGCATCAGAAAACGTTCCATAAGCCACTGATTCCTTCATGGTTCATGCAGTCTTCTGTCGGGCATCAACCGCAAAGTTACATAAAGAGTTCTTTTGTTTCAAACGTAGAGGTGCCGAAAAGTTGGTACAACTTTCTACCTTGAGGTACATTTGTGACCAAAACTCTTTAAACAATGTGATCATGCTTATTTTTATACTTAGCCAAATCGTGTTATTATTTCTTGAAGATACGTACGCCTAATCATGATATTGAATTGTTTACATTTTAGAACACTTTATTTCCAGATTTTTTATTTGTTATTAATGTTTTTTGTAAATTGTCATTCTATATTCGTGTATCTACATGGAATATAAGAGAATTTTATATTTTCAACGTGAGAAGAGCACATAGTTATAAAAATTGAATAGAATTAGGTCTGGTGCGGTTCGATAATGACTTTAAATCCTGCGTTGTCGATATTTTTATCAAAGTATCAGGGTACTTAGAACAAATTATAATAATTGAATCAATAATGCTTATTTTGTTTACGTTGTTAGTATAATCATAAAATTAACTGCAACGGTGGAACATGGCTTTAGAGACTTATAAAGACAAGTAGTGGATTACACTCAGCTTTGTATCGATCTGACCATCCAATGCCAAGGTGGAGAATGTGTGTAGCTTTACCTCCACGCCCGCTGAGAACCTTCATGATCTCTTGGTGGATTGGAAATACATTTTGTATCTTTCTCTGATTCATGTTTGTTTATGACAAATCCTAGAACAAGACACGTAACATTTTGGGATTATAAAATAAAGTACAAAGTAGAATAGATTATTGGATTCCAAAAGGGGCACAGCCGCATTAAAATGGAGAGAAGTACATAATGAGGAGCTTCTCTGAAGGAAGTATTATATTCATCATAAGAAAAATGAGATGGGTGGCACATGTGGCATGCATGGGGTTTGTAAGAATTGATTATGACATCACAATCGAATGTTTCGACGAGACGAAATCATGTGGCAGACCTAGGCGAAGATAGGAAGATAATATTAAAGTGGGTTTTAAATAACTAGAAAGTACACTAGATTCATTTGCTTCAGGATCGGGTCAATGGTGGGTTTTTTGAACACGATAATGAACCTTCATAACTCAGTGAATCTTTGAACAGCTGAATAGATATCAGCTCCTTAAACACAAATTCCACTTCAGAACATGTTATGCATATTAATTTTATCTATAATTTACTTGATGTATACAATTTCTATGAGTCTCGTTATCCCTGCCTAAGGCCTTTTCGGACATTTTACGAGTGATTGGGTGTATAATTTCTCTGCTTTTTAGAAAGATCGAAAGTTGGGAAATTCTCCTGCTGTTCACAAAAGTTTTTGGGTAAAATTGCGGCTAACGAGCCAGAATTATTACAATTGCGTGCATTTTCTGTTTCATTTTTTTTGTACTGTTCTAATTTTTTGTGAAATTACCCCATATTCGTGCAGAGTAGAAATTAATATTGGACCGATACGGACCAAAACTAAATTCGTCTTACAACTTTAATACAGGCCCAGAGTTCCAAGTTTGGTCATAAACCAACGATAATATTGTTATGGTTCCCACCTGTCGGCCTCACAATCTATGTTTATTTGATCAAATTCTTTTAATTGGTAACAAAATTAATAATCGCCTTGCTTTCGTGTTAGTTGAAGTATCGACCGCTAGATGACACTCGTCTCTTTTACGTGTTTTATGCATTGAAATACGCATATAAATTTAATTGGATTCAGTAAGTCAGTATACAACAGTCTAGTTAACGCAAAATAAAAATATTTTTAGCCTGTTATATGGTCTTTATTAGATAAACAAATATATGAGGCATCAAATTAACTTAATACAAACCATACACACATGTGTATATAAACTTGATGAAATGTTGGGATGGTTCAAGACAGATGACCGAGGTTAAAAGGAGAGGGGAAATGGGGGGGGGGAAGAGGGATTTGTCTATGGTGGAAGCTACATGAGCGGGTGATGTGTTCTCTTAAGAGAACACGAAGAAGCAAAAGAGAATTTAGCTTCGAATTTTTGGCATGGACCAACTTTTTCTCTTTTTTTTCATACTCCCCCCCCACCCCCTGCAACTGGGAGGTGCGTTCAGGGCGGGAAGTCCTTTTACAAGTCACTCAGTCATTCAGTAAGCTCGTATTAACAGACTCATCTGTACTCTCTGGGATTTGCCTCAAGAGTTACGTGTGTGTATAAATTATTAGTGACTTTATTTTGCGCTTAATTCAGCGAGCACGACAACATTCTTAATTAACAATCGAACATAAAATAATTGAAAACAGCTCTAAGTCACAATAATATAATGGAAACGTTTATTTTAATTTAAATATAAACACGTGGTGCATGTAAAATATATTAATAGGTTACGCTAAATAATTCATTGACTAGTAACAAATCAGGTAACAATGTATTTAATTTATTTAATATATTTAATTCTTTACTATGTGTGTTTGAAAAGTGTTGCGCAATATTATCGTTCCATATGATTTTAACCCCTTTAAAGTTGAGTTTCAGTTTAAAGAATTATCTTATTTTATTTATATATATTTATTGTAATTTAGACATACCAGTTCTCAATGGTGAAACGAACAAAATATATAAAAAAAGACAGCAACAAAAGAAGTTCAATTTCAGTGACTTTATTAAACATCAAAGTCTTTGGTAACAGGTGTTCAGTACTTTTAAGTGACATACCTCGTTCAAGACACGGAAGATATTAAATCGCAATCCAAAAGACTAATTTTGTGTTGCATCATTCAACGTGTTTCTGTTCGTGTAACACAATTCACCCACACTTCAAGACTCTAAGAAGAGAAATGAATGACGAAAGGACTTATTACATACATCTGCAAGTAAGAATATCACTTATTATTACTGTTATCATAATCATTTTATTCTTGGTCTCATTTCACATATTTCTTTCTGGGTATTTCTCTTCTTGATAAAATGGCGAACCCCACCACTCAGGCTTCGAGTTTCTGACTGTAACACTTTCCTTATTATGTACGATGTTCCTGGTACAACTGTCTTTTGTATAAGATACGTATACTGAGTGTGTCCCTGGTATTGATCCCGTATAATTTGCAGTCCTTTAGCTACAATTTCCTTGGCCTGAATCAAAATTGATGATAAAAAGCATTTCATATTCCACATTACCTTCATTTCTATACTTAGATTTTTATATTTTAATTTTTTTTCAGACTCCTGTATTCCACTCCTATCTGATGGTATTGTTTCATCAGTAAGCAAATTTTATCTTTATTGTTTTTCGTCATTATATCTGATCTGTTTGCCAGAACCACTTTATCTGTTTCTACCCCTTGATTGCGCAGTAATGTTGTGTCTTCGTGTTCACATATTGGTTTAGGCGTGTGTGAGTACCAGTTTTATGTTATTGCAATGCCTAATATTTTTTTGCATATTGAGTAATGCAGATGTGTACATATTTTATTACCTTTTATTTTCATTCTTTGCCAGAATATGACATCCTGATGTTAGAAGGTTATTAGTGTCTTCGTATTCCTTACATAGTCGATATCTATTCAATTTCGTCTTTCAAAATGTTTCTCTTTAAGTAATTTGTGCTGATTGTCTAATCCTGAGCTGTCAAAATTTTACTTTTTCTTTCTCCCTTAATGTCTCGAAACTTCAGCCGTCAGTAGGACTGCACCTTGTCCACCAAATTTTCAGATAAACTACGTCGAATTTGTCCATGAATTACTTTAATGGTTCTGTGAGATATCGTATCATTATAATCATCATTGTTCGACTCCATGGAATTTT